CTACTAAGACTACAGAAGCCTTTTAAACTTTGCTTAGTGAAAAAGCCAAACTGGATTTTTAATAATCTGGCTTTCAAAGGGCACTGGATTCAACCTTCTGCTTCTAGGCGTAAGCACAGATTTAGTACAATTTTAGATAATGTCTTTGGTCTCAAAACTTCAGAAACTGAGCCTTGTTTGAGGCATAAAAATACAAACGGCTGCTTTAACTTCAAAGTAATGTTTAAAAGGTTTCAATAATAGAAACATTCAGCTAAAGGAAGAAACAGATGAAACCGCAATGACAGAAATATCACCACAAGTCCTCCCTGCTTTGTGCAGTGTCATTTCCAATGCACTTCAGACCATACAGAGAAAGATTGCCACTGCATCTATTATGGGTCATATGAACATGCATATTTATCAGGAAAGTACAAAAGCTCTTCTCAGTATCTGTTTTAACAATGACAGAAAATATACAGAATAAAGAATATCGGATTGTTATTCTTTATCCTTCATTTATAGTGCAATATGATTTAAAAAGGAAAATTTAAACATCATATTCCATTTCCAGTTGTGGTGCAGTTTTAAAGAGTTAAATAATATTAAAACTGGTTAAGAAATTGGGAAATCATCAGTAATTTTTTAATATAAAAGACTAGAAGTACTTACTTGACAAGCCAATGAGGCAAAACCAAGACTACAGAAAACAAAAAGTAAAGCCAAATAACCTATGATGCATGCTTACTTATTCTCTCCCAAAAGCATAACACGCCTAATCCATCACTTACACATCCCACTCATAATTCTATTACACGATTAGTTTCCAACACAACTGAAAAACCAGCACTTCTGACTTTAGATCTCTTCACTAACTGTGGCATGCTACACCTAACAGAGGTAAAATTGATTTATTTGTTTCATGCTTATGAAGTTTATTTAAATTATGTTCCCCAACACAGTGGCGGTAATCGTCCTCAAGGGAAAATGGCAACACTTGTCATGTAATCCTTGCTCAACTAAAACCATCAGAGGAATTAGCTTAAAGATACCCCTTCCAGTAAAACCCTTCGGCCTCGGGAATCTGTATGCCATGTCTCCTGTAATGGCACATATCAGCTCTTGCTTTCATCATTTAAATGAAGTACAAAACCTTCTGAGTCTAGTAGCAACACCCTGGCACGAAGCTGATGTGATGGAGGAGTCAGGCCTGTCATTGGTTCGTGATGATGATACGGCTGCTTATAGACAATGCTTTACATAACTGTAATTAGACTCATGCACCGAATTTAATACTCCCCCTTCTTACTCAGCACTACACTAGGCTGTCTTTGACACAAACACTTGTGAGTATGTTTTATAACTCAATAATTAACATCCATAAGCTTTACTACGAAAAAGTAACTCCTCTTAACCAGTGGCATGCTGTTTTCAGATAGAGAAAAGAAGTCATGATGAATTAATTTTTCTCAAATGTGTACCTTTTAAAAAAAAAAAAAAAGTCACTGGCATTCTGTTTTGAATGTAATACTTAACAGAACTACAAAGCATGTTTATAAAAAACACAGGGAAACTTACCTTCAGCTTCATAAACACAAAGGAAGAAAAAAATCACTTTAATTCCTGGTACAAATTAAGTCATTGCAATTGAAATACTGAAGGAACCTCTAGCTCCTTCAGCACCACTTGCTCTTCAACTGGAAGATGACCCTACACCAATTAAGTCAGGCTTAAGGGATAGAAAAGTTGACACAACTTTTCACTGTACATCATACTTAAAGGCAGATGAGAGTGCAGAGGGTGAATACCACTCAGCACTTGCTGCTTGCTTCACTTCATATTCACTTTGCGCATGTGATAGCTCCTCCTTTCTGCTGGCCATATGGAATGACTTGGTTGTACATATACAAAGGAATGGAAATGGGGGGGCGCTTCCTTGGTGGTCACAGTAACGTTACAGCCAGACAGCAGAGCTCTTGGCTTACCCCAGGGAAGTGCCTTCACAAAGTGTCACCTTTCCATCGTTCAACATTTGGGAATAAGTTACATTAGGTATATATGGCAAAACACAGGGGGCACCAAGAACTGAAAATCCATGCTACAGTATAAAATACATAGAAAGCATGATTTTGAGGAATCTACAGCTATAGCTACAGTGTAAGTCATTACTAACCCTGGCCTGGCAGCAGCTCAAGACAGGTGCATGTGACCAGGAAAATTCAGGCAGGACAGTCCACTGCTGGGTGGAATGGGAAAGGTAGCTTGGCAGTAAATGGGAGCAGAAGCTTTAGGAATGCACATAGAATATTCCTGTTATTTTGTGATGAAGACCTAATACCCTGAAAAAGTTTACCTAGAGACGCATTTCAAAGGAAAAATAAATATTTAGTTGTCTGAAGGTAACATGCTCAGCCTCAGAGAAGTCCAGCTAATTAATGAAATTGTTGGTACTAACTTGGGCAAATGAAACTCGAGTGATATCGCATGACAAATGTATGTGCTTTCAGGTAATTCTGTGTGGTAAGAATGGTTTGGGCTTTCCATTTGAGCAAGAGTGACAATTTAGAAGTGAGAATGGGGAAGGGTAAGGCTGTAGGAGCATGCCAATGTCAGGGTAGCTGACCACCAATATCAAAAGGTAGCATGGGAAGGGGCTTTTTCTTTGTACAGGGCAATACCTATCAGTTAGTTAGCAGGTAGAATTTCTGTGGATTCTCATCCACTTGCTCACTGAAAACAGAACCATCACATCAGCCTAAGCTTCACTACAACAGTTCTTCCATTTTCCCATTCATAATCATTGACAATAGATAAAAGATAATGCTTGAAACAATATACTGTCTAATAATAATGGCTTACCCCATCTTTGGGCGAAATCTGCATGTGGGTGAGGGAGTGCTTTGGTGAGGGAGGAAGGACAGCATGGGAAGCAACCCTAACTCACAATGTGAGGCCGTACTTCTGTCAAGTCAATGGTGCTACGCCAATCTGCTCACCTGAAGCACTCTCGCTGCCTGTTCTAAGCAGCCCTAACCTACCATCATGCCTACATTTCAAAATGACAGTGACTTTGGAAATTGCTTGGACTACAGAGGGTGCTTTGCTGGACAAGGTACTTTACAAGAAAGGAAGCACATACCTCTTTCCAAATTCTGTGGTTTATTGTATTTTTTGTTCAATAACTCCTTAGACACCCACCCAGTATTTACCATTCTAATCTCCTGACTACAGAAGTTTAATTTAAAAATGCAAAAATATTTCTTTTTCTTACCATGTTCACCCAAACTTCAAATCCTAAGTCAAACTGCTTTTTCCTCAGTCATGTATGAGGACCCCAGGCAAGGATTTTGCAGGCTAGATTATGCTCTTCATTACGCCTTTAGAATCCCGACAAAATACCACTTCCTTTACACCTTATCACAGCCCAGCACTTGCGTGGGTGTATAAACTCTGTATGAAGCGGAATGGTTCACTGCACATCCATTGAGAAGATGAAAACCACACATCAACAGTCAGCCATGATGGAGCGGACAAAAGACATGCTACAGCCAGAAAAGCAGTCCCCATGAAAAAGTTTAATACCAGTTTAGCTTAGCTTGTCCCTTCCCATATCCTACTGTATTCTACCCCCTCCTACCTCTTCCATCTCCCCTCTCTCTGTTGAAAAAACCTTAACCCACATTCTTTGGTAAGTCTCACCTACCTACCAATATGCATTTTATATAAGCATTAATACCAATGTCCACGCCAAACAGAGCAGTGCATTTTGCCATTTCCCCATTTACTCCCAGATCATGAATTTCCAGTCTGTAGTGAGCAGCACTAATCCAAAGCTTTTTGTCTTATTTTCACTTCACTTTTTATTTATTTTCACTTCCCAAGCTGTAACCTCAAGATTCCCAAGCATTTTTCTTGGGCTGTTCTCCCACAATGGACAGCCATCACACACTTCTCCCTTCTAACCAACAAGGTGGAACATAGGGAAAAAAACACACAGTGCATAGAGAGGGACCAAAACCCAGTCCTACATACTTCTCCAGCTCTCCGCTTACAGTTTGAAACCTTTTGTTCTAACCACTTGATCCCAAGTTCATCATGGAAGACTTTAAGCTGATTTCAGCCTCACACGTTGAGTTAGCAGCAGACATATCACAGACCTCCAAGTCCACTAGTTCACAAGGCTTAAAACTCTTACTGCTCTTGCAAGCACAGCCTGCTGCGAAGGCAAGCTGGCGCACTGAGGCGAACTCCGGACTGGCACAAACCTGCTGTCCAAGATGCGAGGGCAAAGCACTGCGCTCAGCACAAAAGCCCAGACAGGCAGGCGGGCGAAACGTTAAATGCCAAACAGTCAGCTAAAAGCAGAACTCTGAGCCCTAAGAAATTTGAGTTTACACTTATGTTGCTCACTGGAAACGCAGTGGCTGCACTGGGAATACATTAATGTATGCAGGAATTTGTCCAAATACCCATTAAGAAGGGCACTCCACTAGTGAACCACAGAAGTAGCCAGCACATAATTGAGAGCTTCAGTGGGTGATGAAGGAGACAGACGTCTCCATCTGCAGCATCCTGCTAACAAGGTAAAGTTGTATCATGCAAAAATCACACAGAGAGACGCTCTAGAGAAAGTTTGTGGGTACCAGCCATGTGGGAATCATGGAAGGTTAATCTATATTGCTCCATATCTCACTGAGGAAATGAAGTCACAGATTTTTCAGGAAGTTTTATCCTAGTTTCTAGTTTCTATAAACTCCAGCAATGTATGATCTATTTCTTGAGCTGGTGCTGCGAAACTGCACCTTACACGGGACTCGGGCAGTCCCGCACCTCCCATCTTTACTTTTACCATAAGTACGGCGCCAGGCGGAGAACAGCATCTGAGCTCGTCAGGTGCTTCCCAGCTGAAGCCTCGAAGAAACCAATGGAGCCAGAATCACTTAATGACCAACAGGGGCACTAATGGGTTGGATCCTACAATGCTCTAACACACAAAAACTCATCAAAGAGATTTAATTTACCTTGACCTTGTAGTACTCCTTGACTTCAGGCTGAATGGAATCAAAATCACCACTGATGTAATCAGGCAAGAAGCTGAAAGGAAAGCAATGAGCAGTGAAATGAAAAATTAATCCATCTTACTACATTTAATATTTATTTTCTCAAGAGCGCTAAAGGGTACAAGCATTAATCTCTCAAGGGAATAGGAGTTAGTTAAAAGCATGATAAAACAAGAGTTGATATGAGGTGATACAAAATAAGGTAACAGACGAACTGTAAAACTGGTAAACCTAGTGCCCCTTCTCTGCTGAGGTTGCTACACATGGCTTAGACGCTTATACATCTCCCTGGGTCAGTAAGGCAAGACTTGTATCTGCATGGTTCTAGAAAGACAACTCCCAAATATCTTTCAAATGTATCATTCAGTCAGCAAAGTATTTGAATAAGTGTATCTGAGTGCTGTACATCAAGCCTCAGAGGATACCATTTGTCCCAAGATGATGCTGCTGCTTCTTGGACTGCTGGTGTGCCACAAACGTTCCAAAGATTTGTATTTCAGTTGTTACTGATGTCATCTTGTTTCTGCTCTTCTCCTTGGTTATTAAAAATACTCCCCCCAAAATATAGAAGTCAAATGCTCTTTGATTTTTAAGTCGTATCTTGGATGTACAAAATGTGTACGAGCCTGATTTTAAATCCTAACCATCATTTGTACAGTAATATTGCTGCCAGGCACACAGAAATAATGTTGTGATATTCATCTCAGCTTGCTCCTCATTTTTTAATTGCAGAACGCTGCAAAATATTTACTGCATAAATTCTTATGAAATTCATAATGAAACTTCAACTGTACTACACAAAGAACAGTTTAAGAATATTTTTTTGAAAAAAAAATCCCAACAAAACAACCCCACAGAAATACAGCTTTCCATCTTGCACAATTCCTGGAGTTTTAAGCAGCAGCTAAGACGACAGGTGAAAGTGTTGCCACTGTTTCAACAGATAAGGCTGAGCTTTGAAATTAAAGCTGTGATTTCAGTGTTTTCTATCAGATTAAATAGATAGCTCCTCTTCTCCAAGGTTACTATGCTTTACGAGGGGTATGAGAGTTCATCAGCAAATTAGTTTACAGCTCAAGCTGAGTTACAAGGAATTGGGAAAAGCACATTGGGACGTATTTTTCTTCCACAGGATTTTGGAAGAATGCTGCAGGGTCTACAAACTCATCAGTAAAACTTACAGAAATCTCATGTTCTGGCTCTGCTCAAAGATTTCAAGAAAGATGCGTGGTCACTGGCCACCATTTTCTCTGAAAACTGAAGCTGCTTCAGCAGAAGCTGGTGAGTACAATTGTTGTGAGTTAGTTCATGTGCAACTACGGCATTTCAAATTCACTGCTCTCTGCTATTACTAAGGCTGTTATAAAAGGATATGTTCTAAAAATAACCTCTCCAAAAGTGATGCTCCCACACTCACAGCAGGGGGAAGGGCAGTCCCTTCTGCACAGGGTTTTATTGAGGACACAGAAACCACCTAGAAGAAATGCAAATGCTTCAGTGCTCTGTTTTATATGCTGAAGTCAGTATAGTTCAAAACCAGCAAAAATGAAATAGAAAATTAGATTTGCTCCTTCATTGTGAGACTGACCTTTTCAATGTATAAAAAAAATACGTTTTCAAAATTTAAATTTTAAATTGCTGCCTTTTTACCTTTCCACAAGTTTCCCAATGAAAAATGTACTGAATACAACATGCCTAAAAAACTACAGGCATTCTCTTTCGATTTGTTATTTGCCTTTCATTTCTTCCCGACTGAAACAAAGCCATTAAAAGTAAACTCACTCCAGGCGTTACAGTGGTGGCCCCGAATGCAAGCCCTAGAGGTGTCCCAGCCGGTTGGGCAGGAAGAACTAACAGCCAGTTGTCATGGAAAGCCAACTTAGTATGACGCACGCATCCACACTGGTGAAAAAGCTGATGTCTTAAGGTTGTTTATCTTACTGAAATGCAGTACATAAATCCAAAAGTGTCTTTGTCATTTTTTTTCTCTCTACAGTAACTACAGACTGCAGTGCTTTTAAATAATCAACCATTTCTCCTGAGTGCTTCAAGAGGCATAACTGGGAGCAGAATTAGTCAAAAAAGTATCTCCTCAGAATCAAATGCTCCTGCTCAGCTTTATGCTCTCATCCAAAGTAAAACCATTTCCATGACAAAAGCTAGCTGAAGTTCGGTCTGAATTTTTACAAGCAAAAGAAACTAGAATCTTGGTGGCACCTCCCATGTGCTCTGCCAGGGCTCCTGGCTACACTGCCTGAACCTAGCGCTACGTCCATTTTCAAAACATCCTCTCTAAATAGTTCACTCATAGGCACCACAAAGCCAGAAGTGACTAACAGTGAATACGGAACTGTGCCTGGGAACTTCAAGATTTCTGAAAGTCTAATCCTCACATTAATGAACATGAAGAGAAGAAGTCTTTCTTCTCTTCTCCTTCCCTTTTAGAAACACCAGAAACAAGGAAAATTCAGAAAGTCACTGCTGATGAATTTAAAAAATATCCATCCTGAGTAAATCTCAACTTACACTGTCTGCCTCACAAACATCATTAAATGTTTCAGCTTTCTCTTCAGAGGATGGCTGTTCTTTGTAGCTCATGGACTATGCAAACCCACAAAAGCGAGCCAACATTTGGCCAAGAGTCAAAAGCTCCATTTGACTTGGTCCTTTTGAGTTCTGCGGAACAAATTGCCCGATTCAGGTGAGCAGAATTGAGACAAAGCTCTTCTCCAATTAACACAAGTGAAGGAGAGTCATTGTGTGGAAAGTTGCCCTAGACTGACTAACCTCAGAGGAGACTAGCACTAGCTGATACAGAAACAGGGGAAATAGCCGAGAGAGACATATGTGGGGAAAACACACATACTAAAGTAACTTAAGAATAATTTGTAATAATCGGTTTTCACTTGTTTGCTTTGGTATAGTTTTGTTTTAACTTCAGATCACAGACTAGTCCAGGAGAACAGGCTCTGGAGAATCACGTATCAAGCTTATTACCGTGTGAGTGAAAGAAATTATGTCAGAAAGAAGTAACAAGAAAGGTCCCTCCATAAAATTTAAAACAACTGCCCTTATTTAAGTACGGATTAAAATCAGTTATTATATTAGTCTAACCCATGCTTTCCTACCCTCTGACCTCAAATTCATGAATAATTCTTATTCTGTAGCATAACTGTATTGAAGATGACGTATATTTCACTGACATATATGGCACATATCCTTTAGTGAAGGAGATTGTCTTTTTGCCCATGATGGCACAAGATGTCTTTAATTCCCTTTCAAAGTCCAATTTAAAATTTTAATTTCTAAGCAGTCCAGATGATGCAGTCTACTGCATTTCAGAACCACGTTTTACCAGTCTCATTAGCTATTAATTATCACTATGCATATAAGGTCATGACCAGCTCAGCTGGCTTGATTTTCTGCTGCTTTACACTGACATTTATCAGGAGCGAGCCAACCCCATCATCCTAATGGGACCGGAAGCATAAATCTCATGTGAGATCAGCCTAGTCTACCAAGTCTTCTCTAGAGCTGCCCAGCAGCATAACACCAGGCACAGAGCCACGAAAAGTCCTTAGAGGTTTTGGGCCAGCCAGAGTTTTTCTTTCTCTTCTCATTCTCCTTGCTTTTTTGGGGGCTGAGGGATTATTATTTTTTTTTGTTTGGCTTTACGATGTTGCTTTTTGTTGTTGTTGTTTTGGTTTTTGATCTCAACAGGGTATTTTAAAGACATACAGCATCCATCTAAAATTATTAAGGAGTCAGGAGGACCAGAACTGCTTTCAGATAAGGATCTGAAGGCACTTCCATAGCAAGTTGTTGTTTTGGTTTTTGATCTCAACAGGGTATTTTAAAGCCATACAGCATCCATCTAAAATTATTAAGGAGTCAGGAGGACCAGAACTGCTTTCAGATAAGGATCTGAAGGCACTTCCATAGCAGACTGCTTATGTTTCGTGTATGTAATTTTTATTTTTTTTTTAAAGAAACCAGAGTTTCAATATGAAACCTTTAAAGGTTTACCTAGCTTACCAAGAAAAAACAGCACTATTTCTCAGAAGTTTTGAGATGGATCCCAGCTAGGGGATTTATGCAAATTGGGTAAAGGCTGAATGCTGACTGAACAGTTTTATGAACTCCCTGGATGCTGGGCTGGAGAGCAGGAAAAGAAAGAGATTCCAGAAAGTTTGCCATAGTTTCAAGATACACTAATGAAATTTTAGTCACCGGTACCATAAAACAGTAATTGACTCTTACCATGGACACAGATTACAAAATAAATAGAAGCTATTTAAACGCTGAGGTCCTCATGCTAAGTAAGCACAACTGTGCCTTTTGCCTTCAAGAAACCCATCTAAGGGACAGAACTTAATTCAAGAAGCAGTTTTATTTTGAAATATTCAACACTAATGAACAGCATAAATGTAAAACATCAGAATACTTGGTTGTTTGTTTATTCACTCACTTTAAGAATTCATCATGGAGTGGTAAATATACCTTTTTGTACAGTTATGAAAAAGAAAAAAAAAAACCCAACACATCACACTTTAGCAGTTTATAATAAAAAACTGTGCTGCCTCCTTAAATAAATTGCTCTGGCATAACTGTTCAGTTCTATCATTAATTCAAAGTTACATTTTCCTAGTACTATTGACTTTTCTTGTGATGTAGCTCCGTTAGCACATAATTGTCCGCAATTAACCTTTTTTAAACAAATGTTAACATCAGAGACATGAACCTTTAAAGGCAGTATCTGCGGTACCCTTTGCTTCCTTCAGTTACAGCACAGAAAAAAAAAATCCCACACAGACAAGCCGTACGTGTCCCAGCTGTATTATTCGAGGGCACAGAGTGGGCTCCCTATGCTTTTTTTTTTTC